GGCCAGAGAATCCGCCCTTAATCATTGGTCCGTTAGTTACCGGACACCTTGTATATATTATATAAAGTGTATAGCACGTCAGAAGCTTGTGAGCTTACAGCGATAAGTAAAAACAATTGCGTATTTATTTCATTGCGTTTATCTGTTTAAACGCGCGCTTTAATTTTTCCAACGTTTTTGCCTGTTTATATTTTAAAGGTCCTCTCTTCTAAAAATCTTGTTTTAAAGATCCTCTCCGCGAGCAAAATTCGAAAACATAAATTATTAATATTTTTACTTTATTATTTGTAAATCCTCGGTAATTTCAAAATTTTTCTATTTGAAAATTATTAATTTTCTATTGCCAATTAATTTTATCACAGACTTTACTCTTACTCCCATTGCACTTTCGTTTGCGGTTTTCAGTATACGATTTTTTATCGTAGTTACTGCAAATTATTATTGTGAATTATACTTGTGCAGTGATTTGAAGAATTTACAATTTCGTTGAAATTGTTGATTTTTCAAAAAAATTACGAGATTCGCGGAAATTGCGTGCTTTCTTGGCATTTTCCGTTCGCGGCAGGCGGTTTATTTTTGATTGTTGCAAGTGTTTTTGTTTTTTTTTATTAAAATAGATAATAATAATGTGAAATAAATCACGATATTTGACAGATGTGCATATATATAGAAATTGTAATAATAATAATATTATATCATAAAATTGTAAATTGTTTCAATTTTTTATAGACTGCGATAAAAGATTTTACATTTGGATAAGAAACTGCGGTAAGTAAAAATATAAAATTCTTGAAAACGTACCAAAAATATCTGATAACGTAAAAAGGTGAACTTTGAAATATAAGGAACTTAAAAATTGCACTAATAAATGGGCTATATGTGAGCCGTGCGCGGATGTAAGGTGTGTTATATCGAAATTTAATTAATAGAATTGAGAATTAATCCCAATTTTAAGTCTTACAAATGTCCAAGCTAATTTTTTGTACCTCGTGTACATTTTTGAAAGTTATATCGAAAAATTAAATTTCAATATGCGTCTTACATCTCACATTTCGCATACGGCTCACATATAGCCTATTTATCTCTTATACTTTATTTCAACTCTTATAGAAATTTATTACTAGTAACGCCAATTTATCACTTATTTCGAGTAATTAATCACTTTTATTTCGAATACTTAAATTACTGTATATTATAGTATTTTAAATACTCAAAATAAGTGATTAATTGGCGTAGTGATAAATTTCTACAAGAGAATAAGGAGCCTTTAAATTCTTAATGTAAAAAATTTCAAGTAATTTTCTTTAATAAAATTTAATTAAAAATTTAATTAAAAAATTTTTGAACACTGTGTTATATCACATTTAAAATTGTGATTATTTCAATAAAAAAAACATTTTATGTGTAAAAAATATATTTTTTATATTTAATAAATTTATATATATATATGCATATATGTAAAATATTCTCTCTCTCTCTCTCTCTCTCTCTCTCTCACACACACACACACACACACACACACACAACGGGGGCCAAATCTCTCAAATTGGTCTCATGATCAATTAGCCTGGATTCGCACCAGGGGCAAAGTCTGTTGGTAATGTCAAACGAATTTAGCCTGGACTTGCACCAGGGGCAAAGTCTTTTGGTCGAGTCTACGAAATTTAGCACGGACTCGAACCAGGGGCAAAGTCTTTTGGTTCAAGTCTACGAATTTAGCACGGACTCGAACCAGGGGCAAAGTGTGTCGGTAAGGGGCAAAGTCTATCGCACGAAGATGGCGGTCTCTTCTTTAGGCAGGCCTTTGGCGATCTGTCTATTAATCTGTGTCCATATGCTACTGTTAAACAATACTTTTAGAGCCCCCATGTTTTCAAAAAAAAGTAACTAATAAAAGTAACTATTAAAATAGTTACTAGTTACTAAAAAAAATGTAACTAAGTTACAGTTACAGTTACAGATGGAGAAAAGTAACGAAGTTAACGTTATAGTACCGAAAAAAAGTAACTGTAACTGTAACTTCGTTACAAGTAACTTGTACAACCCTGATATTTATTATCATAATTATGATTATAACTATAATAGAAGTTGTTCGTAAAAAGTCCACTCTCAATGTATTCAGTTTTTTATGTTGCATACAGGCATGCGTAACTCTGTATATTGGCTGCACTGTTAGAGATTTGATTGTAAGGCACAGATTAAGGGTCGGCAGGCGAATGGTAGAGACGCCTATCGGCCGGCCGGGAATATTAGAGATTCTTATATTCCAGATATTAGCGAAACTACTGAATGAATCTTATTAAATTATGATATTCTTAATCAGTAAGCTCAAATGCAGTCCGCCAAAGAGGTTATTTATTGAAAAAAAGATGAAAATAAATTTATAATATAACTTGGGGGATGCGCAGCTAGTAACGGGTAAGGTTGGTTAGCAGGAGTCCGTATTTATTTATTATAAATTTTTCAGAGCAAAAATGCAAAATCCGACTCTTTGGCGGACTACTTTATTATATCAAGAATATATTAAAAAAAAAAAAAAACCAAAGTTATGTCACTTATTTTTATGAAATATCTGGACGATAAGATTCTCACTAAATTCATAAGGAGAAGGGGAAATTTCCGTGGTAAACATACTGACAGCTAACAGCTGACAAGGGAGGGACTATCATTCTGTCCTTGTCTCTCTTACATCGCATATGTAGTAAAATCCATGTAGACACAAACACTAATGCGTTGAACGAATGCGATTATTGGGAGATATCAGCAAGAACCGATTTTCGTATTATCATGTTCTCTGTATATGTATATTATATGTAAAAGAACAATAAGAATAGCAATAATTCTTGCCTAACATTATCTTCCAATTATCGTTTCGTGTACGCAATATATATTTCACATTATGCATCTGTAACAAATAATCGAATGATTTATTTAAATATTTGCATATAATCTATATAAATCTATATAATAAATAAAATGTGTAATAAATTATCGAATGATTTATTTAAATATTTGCATATAATCTATGTAAATAAAATATGTACAAATAAAATAATATTTATGCAAATATTATTTTATTTGTGTACATATTTTATTTATATACCCACAACCACACCAAGTCCAAAATGGCGCGTAAGATATCTTTATAAGATGTTCTTTTGATATCATATCATAAGAAGTGTCTAAAGAGTTTCGAATGCTATCTTATGCGTCAATTTAGACTAGTTGGCTGTCTGGGAGATAATATGCAAATTAATATGTTTATATATATGCACACACATAGATATGACAATAGCGTTATCGTGATTTTTTCGATTATTAAAGTTGTATTGTATAATCTTCTTATCTCTTTCTTTCTCTCTGCTCATACCCATACAGCACAGAAATTTTCAGAAATATTTCAAAAATATTTCATGTGACAGATTGAAACATTTCATAAATATTGCGAAATGTTTCTGCAACAACTTTGAGACAACTCTGAAATAGCAAAATGTCCGCGATTCTTGCACTGAAACCTTATAGAAACCTTATTGAAACTTATAAAAAGTTTGCTGAAAGGTTACTAATAATCTGCAACTTTTCTGAATATTCTTAAAAGGTTACTGAAATGATTGAACCGTTCTGAAATATTGCTGAAAACTATTTTAAATAATTCTGAAAATTTTTATAATATTGCAAACATGGCTGCTTTCGCGACAAAATTAAATAATGATCCAGATTAAAATGATCTGCACTGGGATGTTTCAAATGAAATTTCATTGAATACAATTTCAATGAGATTCCATGAAATTTCAGATTTCACTAATCACAGTGCGAATCATTTTAATCTGAATTATATTATTTTTGATTTTGTCGCAAAAGCCGCCCATATTTACAAAATGTTATTCAAATAAAAATATATATTCAGAAATAATATTTAATTTATTATATTTATTGCACCACCAAATATACGACAAAATTTACACTAAAAAGAGTATAAAAAATATATCTAACGTTGTACATTTTTTTAGCTCAGTGTTGCATTTTTTGTCAATGATTCTCACTAAAAGGTCGAATGTTAGATCTCTAGGATATATATAATCTTACTTCTATATAATATGTATTATAGCTTTAGGATATAGAAGAAACTATTTATAATTTTTATTAAATTTTATTTGAGTAGTATATTGTTTTAATAGTTGAATCGTTACATAAAATAAAAATAGTTATCACATAAAATAAAAACTTTTTACATAAAGTAAAAATTTGAATTCCATTGGATAACATTGTTAGGTTATTCTAATAACATAATTAAAACTTCCAACAATTTTTGAATAAATTTTAAGTGAACTGCTAAACTCTAATTATATTTATTTGATAATTTTAACTACTTTAAAAAAAATAAACTTTCCAAACAAACAATTCTCAAACACAAAATAAAATAACTAATTCTAAATAAAAATGTCTTTTACTCAAAATATAAAAATCAACATTATGCAAAAAAATTTGATTTTTGTGATTGAATATATATTTTGTTGCAGGTATATACATATAAATTTTTAGAACACAAAGTACTTCTTTTTTAAATTAAAAAGCAAAGTTAAAAGCGAAACATTTATTCCGATGGCTGTTCTTTTTGTTTTCGTTGTATCGTTCTCTGAATAACTACACGATTAATAAGTACTGTAATATTATATATATACATTATAAATAATCTCACTTTTCATTAATAATATTTACTTACTCATCTCTGTCATGACGTAATTTGCCCTGGATGAACCATTTAGAGATGACTTCGATAATTTGTTTGTCATCCGTTTCGATTTTGCATGAACACATTTTAGATAAACAAGGAAATTTATTTTATTAATATAGAGATTACCTTTTGTTCAAAATTATATTATTGAAAATATTGCGTGCTTACATATAAAATAATTATTTAATTATATTGATACAATATAATGAAATAATTATTTTATTTATTTTGAAACGAGAAATTAGTAGTTTAAATATTAACATATTTTTATGCATTTAGTTAACAATAAATCTTTGAAAGGCTCTTTCTTCATACTTTTTCCATTCCAGCAATATAACGTTGAAAGATGATTACTAATAAATTTTTGAGAATAACAATTATCATGTCATGAGACGTTTTATGTAATATATAGAGTATATAAAGGAAATTATTAAAAATCTGTACTTACACATGTAACCTCAAAATTCAAGAACAAACAAAAATTAAAATTAGACAAATTCATCATATGTAAAATGAAAATAGTTTAAATAATGACAAATATACAGAGTAAAATTATGTAGAAAAGCATGCACCGGTTAAAAGTATCCAAAAATATACATGTTAAAATGCAGTTATAACCTCTTTTTTTCGGTACTTTGAAACATTAATCATGAAAATAATACCTTGAAAGTTTTATGTCTGATTTCGAATTCTATCAAATAAGTAGATATTATTCCTTTATAAACTTTACTATTTATTAGAACCAGTAGACAGTAGTGCTATCATAGCAGTCCAAGTCTATGCGTTTTTAGCAAGCTGTTCTTGTCGTTGCCTGCATTCCACATCCGGAACCTAAAAAGCGGGAAAGAATTTGATTGGTTGTTCCTATATATATATATATACATTAATATACATTTAATCTGTCCAATAAAAGATATGAAAATAAATTTTTATAATACATACCGTCGACTATTTTGATTGATTTGTTATATAATATATATATGTATATACACTTATAATCACTATATTAAAAAATCGTTCCAGTTTCAAAATTATTTCATATGAAAACTTTTTGCAACACTCATATTAATTTTCAAATTTACCACATGTAATAGATTTCAGAAACATTTCTGTTGCAACATTTCATATGACATATTGCAGAATTCTGTCAGAAATGTTGCACATGAAATGTGAAACATTGAAATGTTTGAAATATTTCTGAAAGCTTTCTGTAACAAATGTGCTATATGGGTAAATACTATTATAATGTAAAAGAACTTACGAGTAACGTATGATGGCTCAATGCAATAATATTCAATCACGTAAAAAACTTGAGTTCAAATATATCAATATCAATTTTTTTACAATATATTAGAATATAGAAAAATATAGAAATATAAGGCGATAAACTTGAAAATTTTTAAATATTGAAAAATATTTAATCATTTTTACAATTACATACACTATATAGATATATATATATATATATAATATATATATATATATATATATATTAAATGCAAAATAAGTCCGTAAATAAATTTATCAAGTAATAAATCCGTTGCATGCTCGCAGCTACATATGCACACACAAATAGCTGGTATGTTGATTTTTATTAAAAATTTATTTTCTGTATTATTTTGCATTTATATAGTGTGTATGTGGGGTGTGTGTGTGTGTTTGTGTGTGTGTGTGTGTGTGGCGTGTGCGCGCGCGCGCGCGCGTGTAGTGTAGTAAAATTTTCAATATATTTATAAAATTTTTATTGCTGAAATATATTTTTTTATCATTTCTCTGTATTCCAATATATTATTAAAAAATTGATATTGATATATTTGAACTCTAATAATTTACTGGGTGATACATACTGAACATCCTTTGCATTGATCAATATTACTCGAAATAAGTTCTTTTATGTTATAAGTATTTATGGAGCAAATTATACAATAACATCAATAATAGAAAGAAATCAAGAATAACCAACGCATATTCGTCAATCTATGATTGCTATACAAGCTAATAATAATTATATTCGTTCTCTTATTCTTGTCTCTCGAAAAAGTATAAGCAATAAATTATCAAACCTAACAAGTACCCGTGTCTAACATTGTAGACTAATTTACTTTCAATTATGCTACTGTTATTATTTATCATTAGACATTATAAAACATATATAATATAGCAAACTAATATTATATGTAATGTTTTATAATTTATTTTATATTTTTATTATTTGACAAGTTAAATCTCTCCGAATCATAATTTGCGCTTACATCTTAAAGACGAAAAGCTGTAACTCTCTGATATTCCATGTATTTTTGAAAGGACCACATCCCGTATGGTCGAATGTTAAAATAAATATATATACAACTTTAATTTGAGGCCAGTGT